AACGCTGTTTTCTTGATTTTTTACCATTTTCTATTTTTTACTATCTAGGAGGGGCTTTGACCCGGCGAAGCCGGTGGAACTGGGTATGAAGGAACGGGGGTCTAGAAAGAATAGGGGGTTTGATACGCACTTAGTCTACGCTAAAATATCACTCAATTATATGCTTCCATGATCGACAAAATTCGGGTCAAAATCGAGCAAATGGGGCCGTGATCTGACGTTTTTTTCCTTATGCTTCATCTTTTCTCAAAACCCATCGTAGATTCGGAATCAGCATGAAAAATGACGTCGAATGATAGATAACTCTTTGAATTTGGAAGGAAAATAGAAAATTTGCAAGTTTTCACCGTATACTGGTGATTGGGCCCCTGATCTACAGTAATGTCAAACTTAAAAGTTGAATTCAACTATTTCAACTATTTCAAGTATTTTGGCCACACCCTCACCTGCGTCGTTTGTGTGTGCATGTAGCTCATGTGAGTCATACCTGGTGAAAGTCCTTTCGCGGCACCCTCAGCTGCGACGCTTGTGTGTGCGTGTAGCCCGTGTGAGTCATACGTGGTGAAACTCCTTTTGCGGCGAGTGTAGGTTTTTTTTATTTCAAATTGAATTTTGAAAAGAAATAGCAGCCCATTTTTACCAAGGCAGAGTTACTAAGTGGAGTAAGAAGTTCTTTGAATTCAGAATTCAAGAATTCTTTGATTTCTTGCCTCCTGTTTCTTATAAAAAAGGCTACTATGTATACATACATAAGATATATAGAATTCAGTCGACATATGTTATATCTATAGTACCTTTTTTGAGGGCGGGCTAGGAGAACTAAGGGGACTAAGGGGACTAACTAAGCGGACTAAGGGTAGGAATATTGATGTACACAGAGGCGTGGATGGGTCGCGGCTCTTCGGGGGGCGCGAAGCGCCCCCACGCCGCGACGCTGAAATAAAAGCTGTGTTAGGTGACGAAACACGCTTCCCCACTGAATAGTCCGCTTAGTCCCCTTTGTCCCCTTAGTCCCTTATGTCAATTTGAAATCAAGTGCTCTTTTTTCTGTTTAAATTCAGATTGAAATTAAATAACCCATAGTATGTTCGCGGCACCCTCACCTGCGACGCTTGTGTGTGCGTGTAGCTCATGTGAGTCATATGTGGTTGGAATCGTTGAAGTTGAAATACTTGAAATAGTTGAAATAGTTGAAATACTTGAATTCAAGTTTCAAGTGTTACATGTATGCTGATCTGACGGTTTTTTTCTTATATTTCATCTTTTCTCAAAACCAATGACAGATTCGGAATCAGCATGAAAAATGACGTCGAATGATAGTTAATTGCTTCAATTAGAAAGAAAATTGAACATTTCGGATGTTTTCACCGTATACTGGTGATTGGGCCCCTGATGTCAGTGTATTTTTTCTGAAATTTCATCTTTTCTCAAAACCAATCACTGATTGTTAATCACCGTAAAAAGCTGATTCTTGTGATGTATAATTTAACACAATTTGACAAAAATTTTTTCTCGTGATTGTTTTCAGTGATAAGCTGCCGTGACCGGTTTCGATCTTGCTTAAGGATCTCATGAGATGGCTCTGTTCAAATTCCCCATGAAATACCTGTTATATCGACGAAAACGAATATACATCCAATATTAATGATGCTTTTTGAAAAAAACAGTAATTGCGAGGTGAGGGTCGATCTGATGAGATTCTTGAGCAAGATTGAAACCGGTCCTGGATGCTTATAAAACTCAATATGAAAGGTTTGTGGATATTTTTAAAAAGAATGGCGTTTTAGTGTTCATTCCTGTGATACTGTGACATTGAAAGAAACTTTGTGGTGCTACGAAATTATATCATCCGATGTCAATCTTGTATTAAATAAAAATGAATTTTTAACACATAAAGCAGAAGACTTTTATCGGATATATAATGAATGTTTCATTCGTGTATCTTTCGTTTAAATCTTGTTGAATAATTCTTTTGTGTATCATTATGCTGATAAATCTATTCGACGTGCTTAGAAATCTGTCATTTTCGGTGTTTATTGAAGACTTTAGAAAAGTTAAAATTATTTAGCTGATATTTTTCATGTTTTTCTACTCAATTTTAGATTGCTAATATATGGATTGGTCAAATGAAGATGTCTCAATGTGGTTGGTCGAGAACGGTTTTGATAGATTCATTAATAGATTTAAAGGTATTGACGAATAATTAGTTATATAATTACATTTAAGTTCATCATCAATTGAAGACTTGTTATCGATTAAAATAGAAAATAATATTATTAAAAGACCAACTATTGGTGTGAAAGTAACATTGGAAAACAAATTGGAGAGAAATTGAAAGAGAATGTTAGTTTAACTGATAAGTGAATATTTATTTATTTATCTGATTAGGGTCTATCAGAGTCTACTAAGGTGTACTAGAATTTCGCGGCACCCACACCGAGACCCTGGTAGATCCTGAGAGCAACAGTTAAAAAACATCAGGGTAGTTTCCACACACATAGAAAAAAGACAAGAAAAAAAAAGATATATAATCGTCGTGTTCTAAAAAATACAAATTGTTGTTGTCGCCATGTTTTCTAGTTCAGTTATAGAAATCGTTGAACATTTTCTAGTTCTTGGTCGAATACAGCAGGAAAGGTAACGGTATTATTCGCATGATTGTAGTCATCATCAAGATCACTATCGTCATCAAATACATCGTCGTCATCGTCGAAATAATCATCATCACATGGATACCATGGACGAGGATAGCGCGTGTAATGATGCTTCTCAATATCTGTTACAAAGTCAACCACTCTTTCGTAGAACTCTCTATTGATTGTTACAAAAAGATAAAATAGAGGTAAAATTGAGATGAACATAAATAAATCCTTACGCTTTGTCAATGATATAAAAATACTTGTCCGTCCTCATCATTTTTTCTTCCATATTTCCATATACTGGGGTGTGAGAACCTGTAGAATCATTTGCTATTAGTGATGATTGTTGTTGTAGTTGCTCTTTTCTGATCAACCATGGCGCTTTGATGTCAATGATTCGACGCGAAAAAGGTAATACCGACTACAATATAAATATGACATGTTGATGATGCAAAGAAAAATGAATAAGGAATCATCATCTTACCTGACCATTTTCATTCAATTCTAAATAAACTGGTTTATTCCATTTGATTACTTCTGATGGCTAGAATAGTCAAAAAAAAAACAACACGAAAACAAATGGATATTTCATTTTTAACATTGGAACCATTTTATATTTTTCTCACTTGTTTTGTAACATGATCGTTTATTTTCACACTTGTTGGCGTTGTTGTTGTTGTTGTAATAGGTTTATTTTCAAGAAATGACATGTTGATTACAAAATAGAACAAAGTAATATTTATATCTAAAACAATAAGAAAACGAAACACGAAATTAAATATACATAGAAACAGTTTATTTCTCATTTTTGTAATGAATATCATAGATAAGAATACGAAAACAACAAGAAATTTTTTTCTTGTTGATACACTAATAAATATGTTCTAATCGATATAAATAAGATCTAATTGTCTAGGCAATGAATTCTCTTCAGAACGTTGATGGCTGTTGTTATTGTCATTATTACTACGATAACGAAAAACAGGCGCATCTGGTGAACTACGATAATATTCATCTAATCCATTATGTACGATGACTGCACGATTGCTAGTATTACGTCTAGCTTTTGGTACCATTTGATCTCCTAAGTCTTCGATGTTGTTCTTCTTCGTCGTTGTCTTCTCTACCGAAGAGGTATTCACAGATCCATGTTCGCTATTATTTGTTGAATTAGAAGTTGTGGGTACAGGTGGAATTGGAGGTGGTAGAAATATTAAATCATTCGTAATCTAGATTACAAATCAACAAGAAAATAATTAACAGTTCTTTTTCAATCCATTTTTCATACTTACATGATGACTAATATTTCGACGAAATGTTGGCTTTCTAACAGGCATTGACATCGTTGAGATCCAGAAAGAAATATTAAAAACAACTGAGAATTATATATGAAAAGAAGTCAATAAATCTGAAATTAGAAAAAAAAGAAGAAAAAAAATAGCTGTCTGCTAAAGTAGAATGAGTAGGGGTTCAATTTTTATTCAACAAATTATTTTCAACAAAATGAAATAAAACATGGAAAAAAATCTTATCATTTATGCAGCGAAACAAACGCACGTATGAACGATTGATTATCATGGACAACTGGATGAGAAAGAAGACCGACATTGAAGACTTAGGAGATCAAGTGGTACCAATAGCTAGACGTAATACTAGCAATCGTGC